CAGCCTCAGGACTTGAGAGACTGCATGACCTTCATTTTTTAATTTAGAAAGGTTGACATCTAATCCTAAGAGATATGACAGCATGTTTCTTCTAGGATCTGAAGACACAAAGCCAATGATTTGATGTATCCTTGCAAATTTTCCTATTTTAATTTAAAATGGGAGAAGACAAAGAAGGAGAAGGAGGAAGAGAGTTTCCTGAGGGAGCTGGTGAACTGGGCCTGTGGGGATGGAATTCTGCTTTTTCTTCAGGACATGTGTGTGGGGTCGCCCGAAATGTGTCAACGGTTCTTACAGTTTGGGACCAGTAGTGCCAACCCTCCAAGGCTTGCAGGCAGCCCCGTTTCCTCTTGCTGCAGGCTCTCAGTGTCTTCTGAGCAGATTTTCCCTCTTAGTTGCAAAGCTGTGGGTTTCCTGCCTGTGATAGTGACCTCAGGGAGCTCCTGGGGCTGATGCGGTATTGGGATGGAGGGTCCTGGGTGGGTCCACCTTTCTCCTCATAAGGCCTCTGTGAGGAGCCAGATTCCCTCCTCCGTCAAATAGGAATAACACCCTTCTGTGGCCACCTCCCATGGTAGGTTTTTTTCATTATAAATAAGTTTTCCTATTCTAAGGTAGCTGTGAGGATCAGAAAGAAATGCATCTGAGAAAGGGGGAGGACATATGAAAGGTGTCCCTGTAGGAGACGGGGAGGTAGGCCACATCCTCCCCAGGGCTCCTTGCACTCTTTCTCTCTCTCTTTCCAGGAGTTCGCCTCAGAATTTGATCAGATCGACACATCCAACCCAAACTGTGTGTGTAATCGCAGACGCAGGAGAAAGCTTTTCTTATCAAACATGAATAACGCCTTCCAGGTGCTCATGGAGCTGGAAAATCCTGTGCTCATATCACTGGAAAAGGGTAAGTTGGCTCCAGGGAAAGTCATTTCTCAGTTAGATGAGATGAGGCTGTGCTAGTCTCTGACGTGTGGAATCAGGCAGAGAAGGAAGCAGAAGGGGATGTAGGGGGAGCACCGGTGACCCTTCTTCTCCTCCCTTTTTCATGCTTTCTCTCTTCATTTCTTTATTCCTCTCCTTTAATCATTTTTTTTAGGAAATAGGAACACAT